TGTGTGTGTGTATATATATAGATAGGGTCGTTGGGAAAGTCATGATGTCTTTTTCTGTGTTTTCCAATACAAAAATAAAAATGCATCATGACTTTCCCGGCGACCCATATATATGCATGGACTTGATGGATCAGCTTAGTTCACTGGTCCCCCTTCCAAATTATTAGCACTTTGTACTGGTAACAAAGATTTTCCTTTCTTTCTTTTTTTTCTTTTTAATGCCCAGGTATAGTCTTAGGCTCTAGAAATTCTGACCATTTTTATTATTTCTAAAACAGTTGGTTCCTACTTTCTTTCTTTCATTATGAGTCACTTTTAAAAGCTCAAAATGGGAGAGGAATCACTAAGCCCAATTGTTTGCCCACAGATTACATTCTGATTGCAAATGTGACTGTTTTTCCTTTAAGATATGGGGCAATGTACATTCAAAGTACTGAATTTCCTTTGAAATTTCAGTATCATGAAAATGAAATAGAATGCATAAGTATCTACGAGGCTTCTGGCATCATTTCCTGTGATAGTTCCGAGTCCCTGAATGTTAAAATTTTAGTGTGGGATTGTGAAGATTACTGACATCAGAAGTTCTTCATTGAACAAATTCTGTAAAAAAAGACGTATTAAATTGTTTTAATAGTAATTTGTCATTGTAATTTATGACATAAACAAATGCACAATTCTGAATGTTTTTCAGTCTTATCTGTTCCAAATACAAATGTTAAGTTGCAGCAAAAAAAAAATAGATAACATTTAGTATTACAAAGAATCATATTTAAAAGCAACTCGATGCAGAGTCCAGTGACTTCTTCAGGGCACCTGAAATAGAAACTACAATATCAAGGCTTTTATAATGCATAATTCTAAACAAGAATATTATTTATAAAGAAGTGCAAATTGACTTTTACATTGGATTTTAGTTAAATGAAGGCACTCAGTATTCTTCCTGAACAAAATATTTAGTTTCTCACATTTCACGTTTATATCTATTCAGAATTACTTTGTAATAATCTCCATCTATTCTTATCACAGCTGTGCGATGATACCTAATTGTAGGAAACCCTTTGAAACATAAGATCCTCCAATGAAGTTGGCCTCAGTACAATGAATGTTTCTTCTGTTGAAGTTTTAAGTGAATATACATTAAAAACCAAGTTCTTCTGAGATAAAGCTTGCACTGCTCTCAGGAATCATAGCTCTTACTCTGGAACGGTTACTCTTCTGTTTATACTTCATGACTGCAGAGGACAAATGTCCACTGTGGTTTTGATGTGTTGGTAGGTCGTGTCTTCTGGGCCTCAAAGCTGGACAGGGTCTACCTTTTAGAGAGTCGGTACCCCTAATGCAGCTTGTGAGCTGGTCGTTCCCTTCCCCTAGAATAAACAGAAGATAGTCAACTGTCCCCTTCCTTCCCTTCTCTTCCCTCATTCCTTAATAACTGGAGAGCCACGTACTGGGAAAGAAAAAGGAATGTACTATTTCCATGGGGTGGGGGACTTGTGAGGGGGAATAAATAAGGTTTATAGGTTATTGGTGGCTGTGCATTCATTAATAAATAAATGAAATGCCTAGTAGAGCAAATAGAAAAAATCCAGACCTATCTGGGTTAACAATGAATATGAGTTGTACCAGTCCCAGTTCAAAGGTATTAACTGCACATAAGAGACCAATGTCTGATTCCAGCGCTAAGAAATTTATTTTTATTAGCAGTAATATTTCTATACATAAACCAACTTCTACATTGCTTCTGCATTGCCAAGGTTTATTATTTTTAGCTAACAAGGTCACAAAGAATGATTTCATTAGGGAACAAATAGTTAATTGGAATTTGAATGATTTGGAGAAACTAGTATAATATTTCAGTCATCAAAGTGTCAGAGACTCAGATGGCCCTTACAAAAGGTAATACTAAATAGAGAAAGTGACCATTACACTGAAATCCCTTATAATGTGGAATGTTACTTGTGTAAGTTGAAGTCTTCACCTCAGCAATCACTATGACCTGGAGCTACTTTGCGCTGATGGGCATCAATTTCTTCATAAACAGCCCTGAAACAAACAAGCCATCATGGCAAAAGGTTTATATATCCAAGTCCCTTTTTGGCTTTTAACCTTAACTAAAAATCTGTTGCCCTCTACTGTTCAGAATATATCCGTGAATGAAAGCAAAAAACCTCTGCCCTAAATCTTACATTATAGCCTTGTTAACATCCTAATGTTGCAATTCCCATGTATCTTAAAAATATGTATCTTATATAATCAATTTACTTGTGATTTAATGAAAAATGGCTCAAATTTGGGTTTGTTTCTGCTTTCAAGCAAAAACCGTTCAGCTTTTCCTGGTTTCAAAACATTTAAAAATATATTAATATTCTGTCTAACTTATTTAACCTATCTTCTCATAGTCCAAACTCCTGAGCCACCTTTAGCTTATAACTATCATCTCTGTACTTTATACATAATATATAATTTTTCTATGACATCATTCAATTCTTTATCTTATATGTCTGTGGCCAGAAACTATATAACATTACATTCATATATACAATACAGCAAAACATGGCTAAAGAAAAACTCATAAAAAGCATAGCACCATGAAGCTATGATTGTCAACTTCATGAAGCCCCAGCATGGTCCAGAAATGTTAATATGTTTCCCTAATAAGTCCCTCGTTTTCCACAAAACTATTGCAACCTCCTTCACTCTCCTCAAATCTCTGATCCCCCTCCTCTCACTCTCAGTCAGAAATCTCATTTAATAAATGCAATGCCTTGATACGGAAACTTCCTCATCTTCCCACTGCTGAATCTTCAAATCCGTTTTCATCTGCACCATCATCTACTTCTGAGATCCTATCTACCCCTGAATCTGCCCTGCCCCTCTCCAGATCCTACCCCTCAGCATTCCTAGATGTTCCAGCATCTCCCCTTTTATAAAACCATACAGTCCTTAGTCCCATGTCTACTTACAGCAGTCACCTCAGTAAACTTCTAGCTGACAAACCAGTTTCCAGCAACCCTTCATATTTACATTTCCAGTGTCATCTGCCCTCACTGTGTCTATTCCATCTCTTTTTTTTTAAGTTGCAGAAAAAGGACAGTTTATTAGAAGAAAAAATACATATCAAAGAAGCAAAGGGGGCCCGAACAGTAGATAATGGCTCAAGGGCCATTATTAGAAGAGAAAGTACACGCCAAAGAGTTTGGGGCGGGCCGAACAAAAGACGCTCAAACAAGCCTCCATTTCTTCCTTTTTAACACTGGATTTGGCTTCTGTCCCCATCAATCTACCAAAATGGCTTTTCCTAAAATCACCAATGGTTTCCCATTACTTAATCCATTATGTAGTTTCCATTCCTCACCTTACTTGTCCTCTCTGATTCATCACAGTTGTACACTCCCTTCTTTTTGTTTTCCGAATTGCAATTTCCACATCTATAATAGGTGCCCTGTTGCTCTCTTTTCTACTGGTTTCGGCTTTTTAATTTCCTTGGCTGTGCCAAAACTCACTCACCTCAGGGTCTTTGCACAAGTTGTTCCCTGGGCCTACAACACTGATTCCCAAACTTGTCGTTCAGCTAACAGTTACAGGTCTTAACTTTAATGTCACTTCCTCAAGCTTTCTCTAACCTTCATTTAAATTAGTTCTTGTTACACACAGTGTAGAGGCACCATATTCTTTCATGTTTGCCTGATTGGATTTCTGCCTCCACACTCAACTTCACCTTCACGAGGACAGGGAACATGTCTCTTGTTCAACATGAGAAATTAAGCCTCTGTCACTGTCCCTGGCAAAAGAGTGTTCAGTGCACTTGTCGAATGAATGAATCGTGTGTGTCTATGTGTACGTATCTTTATTAATACTGTATTGTATGTCCTGCTAGAGCAGAAATTCTTAACCTGGGGTTCATGGACAACCAGTGATGTGAAAATCCCAGAAGTTTTCTGCACGATTTTGTGCTTTTCCTAGACGTTCTGTGGATTTCATGTGACTTTCAAAGGAACTGAGACACCCCTACCCCCCACAGTATAAGAACCACAGTGGTAGAGAATTCCAAAGCTTCACCTCTCCTGGTTTTTACTATCTATCTCACTTTTAATATCTGTTGCACTGCTATATCTACTTAACAATAATCCTAATTAACTGAAATGTAATAATAAATTTCCCACTTCCTATTTGGATGCAGAAACTGATGAAAACAAGGAGTTTCCACACAGCATACCTAGTTGAACCAATTTCTAATTCCTTAAACCACTAAGACATTCAGTGAAACTTTTTCAAGCAGAATGACCTAGGTTAATTTCAACCTAGAGAAAAATATTTAATGAACACCTAAGCCTATTAAGATTTACTCATTAATTATTCTAAAGTGGATCAGTACCCTGAGGGTTTAAACCAGGGGGGCAGAACCTCAAATGCCTACACATACCAAACAGATCAAATGAATGGACATGGGACAGGTGGGGCCTGGTGAACTGCAGAGCCTGTCTCATCTTGAGGCAGCCACTTTTCAGCCCCAACCTCAGGCTAACATGGAAAAATGCAGGCCTGGTTTCTAGAAGAATCCAGAGGTCCAGATATTTTTTTGAACTATCCCAGCTTTTAACTGTTGGCAATTAATCTTTAAATATGTATTTTAAATCTTGCACAGGTCAAACAAAACACAGCTGTAGATAAGATACAGCCTGCGGGCTGCCCGTTTCTAAACAATAATTTCCATAAACTTGCTTTAATGATTTTTAACAATTTGGGGGGTAACCTTCAGTCAGTCAAAGTAATTTAAAGGTCTACTGAGCCCACCATCCCAGAAATATTGATATACACTTGAGCACTATGAAATCATAAATAATGATGCTTTAAAGATTTCAAGTTAAGTAATTTTTACACTAATGCTTTATTAGTCCATTTTAAGCATACTATCATATGTAATGAAGACCAAACACAAGTTCTTGTAAGTCTTTTGGGGATTAGTAGCCAACAGCTAAAATATCCGATCAATGTGGTGTTACTTATGTCATTAATCAGTGAACAGTGCCCTTCTCAAGCTGCAAAGAACCCGACTTTCTGCCAAGGCATCTACAGGGAATCCATGAATGACATAATGGTTCCAGTTATTTCTTAATGTGCAACCCTAGCGTTTTTATTTTTCAGTCACTAGGCCGAGAATGGTAAGACCATTAAAAGTAACAGCTTCCATAAAACCTCATAAGTCATTTTTAATAAGGTCATCAATTTCTGCCAAGATCTAAACACAGTTAAACGTATAAGCAAGCCTGCTAGCTCTGCTACCAAAGGGAACCAAGACAGAAAATAAATTAATCATCTTGTAAATGACTTACTCTGTAGTGCCAGCAGGAGCTAAGGGATCAAACTCCATTACCTCGTAGTAATTGGGTGGCTGGAGATCATTCTTTGTCGTCGCTTTAGGCAAAGGGTAAAAAAAAAAAAAATGCGATCAACACACACTGTGCTTTTCAAGGAAATAAGCACAATTAGTATTCTCTTTATGATTTAGACTTCAAACATAAGAACCTAACAAACACTGACAATCAGAAACATTTCAATGCTACTCCCAAGTGCAACAAATCTATATACAACAAAAAGATTTCCAACTTCATTTACCCTCAGTGTTCAAAATATAATATTCAACCCAACAAAGCATGTTTACAATCTCCTAATGTCAGTCATAATGGTATTTGCCCTGAATTTACTTTATGGAGTTCAAAAATGCAAATAAACTGATCTAATTTCTACATGTCTTCTTACAACGATCATAAATCTCTGGCAGACTCCTATATTCTGCCAATTTTTCCTTATTTGATGCAAATAAGGTCTCAAGTACCTGGATGATTGCTGGGCAAGGGTGGCAGTCTCTCGTTTGATGATGTGGCTGGCATGGTCTGAAGACTAACTGGCTGTAATACTGAATCTGGAAGTCCCAAAATCTGAAGAAAGCATAGCACATATTCAAACAAACATTCTACAAGTTTTTTGGTTTTTTTTATGACTATATTATTTAGATTCCTAGATTTCGAAGTGGCACTGTTCCAAAAACCACATGCTCTCAGCTGGACAAGAGTTAGTAATTATGAACTATTATGTTAACTATAAAAAAACCTTGTTGCTTTTTAAAAAAATAAGGAATGTATGGCTCAGTTCAGATTCTGTTGTTGCACACTGATTATAAAATCTCAGTTTCAAAGAGGAAAAAAATCTTGACTATAGAAAGGCATAAGGTAATAACATGAAAACAGGACTAATAAGATAAAGATTTAAGTGGCTCGAAATATGTCTTTCTGGACATTTTCCTCATTGCACGGATATGTCCTGGGTACCTACTAGAGGCTAGACACTACAAATAGAGCAATAAATAAAACAGGCCAAATCCCTTCCCTCATGGAACAGAAAAATCAGCAAAATGTAAATAGATATCAGATGGTCTAAGAAAAACAGGGTAACGGGGAGACGAGACACGGGGAGGTAGGTGGGATGTTGCTGTGATGGCAATGGTCAAGGAATTCCTCACCAATGGGGTCAATGAGCAGAGCCCTGACTGTGAAGTGGGCCCTGTGATTATCTGAGGGGACACTACGTCATATGCTCTGACGTGGGGGAGGCCAGCAGTGTGGTTGGAGCTAAGTGAGCCAGGGGGAAGAGGTGAGGTTGGAAAGGTGATGGGAGGGGTCCCATCAGCATTCCAGGCTTTTACTGAGTAACATGGATTGAAAGAAATCATGGGTGGGTTTGCAGCAGATGAGGAGCATAGCATGACTTTACTTTTTCAAAATGACTTCTCTGGTTTCTGTTTTGAAAATAGATTGTGTGATGGGGGCTGGGAGCGGAGAGGGAGGTAAAAGCTGAAGCATTAGGAGACCACTGCAATGTCCATCTGATGCCTGGACTGGATACAGGAGAGGAGCTGCTACAAACGGCTGGATCATGGATATATTTTGAAGGTAAAAGGTACAAAAGGTAAAGGGTCAGCACTATTTTCCAAGTCTTTTGACCCTGAACAGCTGAAATAGTGGAGTGGTCATTGATGGATGTGGAGAAGACTGCAGGACGGGCAGACTGGGAGCCGGAGCTGGCAAGAAAACAACAGCAGATGTTCAGTGGAAGGTGGATATATGAGTTGAGTTTAGCAGAGGGATATGGGCTGGAGATACCAATTGTAAGTTGTCAGAATTTGAATGGTATTTCAAGAAAAGAGACCAAAAGACCATAGAAGAATGAATGTTGATTGAGAAGTCCAAAGCCTGAGCTCTGGGGTCTCCCACACTGACATGTCAGTAGCAGAGGAGAGGCCACCAACAGAAATAGTCAAGAAGTGGAAGAGAGGCAAGAAAAGAACCAGAAATGAATGGTGTCCGAAAGCCACATATGCAGAAAGGAGGAAGTGACTGTCAATTCCTGCTGATAAATCAGGTAAGAGGACTAGAAATTGCAGTCCAGATTTGGTAATATGGACATCACTGCTGACCTTGACAAGAGTTAACACCAGTAGAGTGGTAAGGGGGAAAGCCTGTCCAAAGTCTGTCAAAGAGAAAAAAAGTGGAGACAGCTAATATAAACAACGCTGAAGGAATTCTGGTCCTTAGCTATCTTTCTAACAAAAGAGCCTCAACTTGTCTACCTTAAAAGATTAAAAAGGCTTTCTCTGACATGTTTCACTTTGTGTAATACCCTCTAAATCTAGCCATGTTGTCACAAATGGCAAGATTTCATTTTTTGTGGCTGAGTAATATTCCATTGTATATAAGTACATCTTTATCCATTCATCTATAAATAAGTCAGACAGAGAAAGACAACTACCGTATGATTTCACTTATAATGTGAAATCTACAAAACAGACACTCATAGATAACAGAACATTTTGATGGATACTAGATTGACGGGGGGTCTGGGGGGGGGTGAAAAAGGGGAAGGCATTAAGAAGTACAAACTGCCAGTTATAGAACGTCACAGGGATGCAAATAAAGTATAGCATAGGGAATATAGTCAATGATATTGTAACTATGTGTGGTGTCTGAGGGGTATTACTTATCGGGGTGATCGCAAGTCACATAAATGTCTAATCACTACATTGTACACATGAAATTAACATTGTATGTCAATGGTAATTGAAAAATAAAAAGAATTTTTTGAAATAAAAGATTAAAAAGACGACAAAATCCTAACAAGGGCTACACCAACACATAAATAAAGAAACATTGAGCAGAACATGAGAATTAATGACCAGGAGTGTTCCTTGAATGACCATGGCAACTGCTGACTCGGAGCATTGCCAGGAAAGGGTTTCATTACTTACATTCTCATATGTACCACTTGAGGCGAAGATTTGGTCAGTCTCTTGGGTAAACCTAGGATAGTGTGATAACACAGCATGATTACCCTACAGTGAGAACACAAATCCAAAAAGTAAGATGACTTTCCTGGTCTAAAATGGCAACATAAAATGTACCTTCAGATTGTACAAAAGTATTAATTTTATGTAACAATAGCCATCTGGTTTCAGTGCCCACCAGGTCCCGATGCCCAAATACCAAAGAAAGTAAAGACAAGGGACTTGGCAGTCAGTGGTAACTCTGAGATGCTGAAGTGTGCATAGTAAGCAGTAAAAACACAGCCTTCAATCTTTCCATGAGTAGCTACCACTCCATCATTTCCTGAAGGATGAGAGGTAATGCAGAGTAGAGGTTAGAAAGGAAGTAAAGGGCCAGCCGAGTGGCGTGTTGGTTATGAGTTGGCTTGGGACGCCAGCTCTGAGCAGCAGGGCCCCGGTTCAGATTCTACAATAGAGCCAGTGACGCTGCGCCCTCTACAGCTAAGATGGTGAACAACAGCTCGACCTGGAGATGGGCTGCCGTGAGTTGCCGGCAACGGCATAGGCTGCAGTGGGGCTGGCCGGCAGCTGGCGTGCGCTTTCGTGAGCTGTCGTGAGCCGCTGTCCAATGGCCAGTGAGCGATTGCTTCACCCGGGAAGAGCGCAATGATAATACCAACATGGGCCAGTGAAGCAATGTCCTCCACAACTAGACTGAAGAAAAGAACAGCAACTTGTCTGTTCCCCTCCCCCAATTCCCCAATAAAATCTTTTAAAAAAAAAGAAAGGAAGCAGGGAAGATTCTGGTTCTGGCTAAGATGGAGTGAACACACTTCACCTTGTCTCTCCTAAATGCAACTACAAAACTTGGACAGAATGCATGGGGGTAACAATTTGTGGACTGAAATGTAAATAGTTACAGGCGGACTGGGAAAGAAGACCAGAATTTGAGTATCACTGAATCATTGGTGAACTTCCGATTTTTTCTCCTCTGCTATTCCCTAACTGAATGCAACACAGCCTAAAATCCAAAGGTGAGCAGTGAGGACAGACAGAGCTCCAGGAGACGCCCTCTCCTTATCACTAAAGAGGTTGTGAAAATCCCTCACTTCTCTCCACCCCTCCCCCCTTCCACCCATTCTCTTACACCTCAAACCCTAGGCCATCCTAAGGTGGCTGCAGTGACATCAGGGTGAACAGGACGAACAGTTTTAAAACTCTGACTGAAGGGAACCTTCCTCTCCAACAGGTAGAACTGTGATCCCAAGAGGATGAGGTGAACCTCACTTGTTTCTTTTTTCTTTTCTGACCCGCCATTTGTCCCAGATACAAGCAGTCACGGAAAACACACGGCATAGGTAAACCTCCAGCTTTCTAACTGGAGAACAGAAAGGGCGCATCCCAGGAAGGCAAAGTACCAGGGAAACCACAAAGGGGGAAGAATTCAGGAAAATAAACTCATGAAGTTGTTTATGAAATCATGGGCTCACCCTGTGATCTGTGTATCTGTGGATCTGATCCCAGTCAGGATACCTAAGACAGTGGGAACTGAACACACAGCCTGCCATCCAGACATCAGACTGACCACTAAGTGAGGCACATGTGAGACAGATCTGAATAGCACTGCAAAGGCTTTGAAAACTTAGCTGTACTGGAACCACAGCATCCAGAAGGCAGGTTAAAACTGCAGCATGAACCTCACAAGGTTGTTTGCCCACTAATATTAAAATATCAACATTCTCAACAGGATTTAAATAAGTGCAAGTGTCTCGTAACATTAAAAATGTCTAATATACAATCCAAAATTACTAGACATATGAAGAACTGGGAACATTTCAAATTGGAAAAGACAAATCACAAATGTTGATATCATGAGGACACAGATGCTGAAATTATCTCAGAGATTTTAAAGCAAGTCTTATACAAATGCTTCAACAAGCAACTGCAAACATGGGGGGAAAGGAAAAACAGAAGTCTCAGCAAAGAAACACAAGATATGAAGAAGTGTCAAATGGTAATTTTAGAACTGAAAAATACAGTAATTGAAGAAAACTTTTTAATTACAGAATGAGCTCAATAGCCATATGGGAATGACAGAGGAATAGTCAATGAACTTGAACTAGAAATTATCCAATCTAAAAAACGGAAAGAATAAGAAAAGAAATGAACAAAACCCTAGATCTATGATACAATGACAACAAATCTAATATTTGTGTCATCAAGGAAGACAAGGCTGAGGGAGATTAACTTGCCATTAACATCCCAGGACAGCAGAAAGTATGCAGTGCTGAAAAACTATTTGAGGAAATCAAGGCTGAAAACTTCACAAATTTGGTGAAAGACATAAACCCACAGGTTCAAGAAGTTCAGTGGAGTAGGTTGAATGGTGGCTCCCTAAAATTATGTCCTTGTCCTAATTTCTGGAACCTGTAAATGTTACCTTATTTGGAAAAGGGGTCTTTGAAGATGTAATTAAGTTAAGGATCTTGAGATGACGATATCATCCTGTATTATTCAAATGGACCCTAAATCCAATGGCTAGTGAGCTTAAAAGAAAAAAGCAATGGAAATTTTAGACAGAGAAGAAAGTAATGTGAAGGGAGAGGCAGAAAGGTGAGTGACGTGGCAACAAGCCAAAGAAAGCTGACAGTTACCAGGATCTGGAAGAGGCAAAGAATGGCTTCTCCTGAAGAAAGCTGAATTTCAGACTTCTAGCCTCCAGAACTATGAGAAAATTAGTTCCTGTGGTTTTAAACCACCCAGTTTGTGGTAACTTTTTAATGGTAGCTACAGGTAACTAGTACACTCAGCAAATCTAAAACAGAAAAAAACAAAAAAGAAAAGAAATCCATGCCCAAACACATCATAATAAAACTTCAAAATTAGGAAAAAATTGGGCCGGCTGAGTGGCGCATTGCTTAGGAGTTGGCTTGGGACGCCAGCTCTGAGCAGCAGGACCACGATTTGGATCTCACATATGCGGGCCAGTAATAATGCGCCCTCTACAGCTAAGATGCTGAACAACAGCTCAACCTGGAGCTGGGCTGCCTTGAGTTGTGTAGGCTGCAGCCCCTGTGGCAGTGGGTTGCCATGGGCTACCGTGTGTAGCCAGCAGCCAGCAGGAGCGGCCTCCCAGAAGCCGGCGACTGATCTGCCTCGCCCGGGAAGAGCGCAATGATGGTGCCAACTTGGGCCAGTGAAGCAACGTCCTCCACAACTAGACTGAAGAACAGGACAGCAACTTGTCTGTTCCCTCCCCCAATTCCCCAGCGCTGTTCCCATACCCCAAATTCACCAATAAAAATCTTTAAAAAAAAAAAAGTCTTACTTTCGTTTAATTTATATTTTTGTAGCTATAAGTAAGGTTGAGCATCATTGCATATATTTATAGGTCATTTGTATTTCTTTTTTGGTGAATTATCAAGTCATCTACTCCCTAAGCCTCAGCCTTTCCTCCTGTACAATGGGGATAATGGTAGGAGCACTGACCTAAGAACTTTTGCAAAGATTAAATGAAATAAAAACAGCGTAGCAAAGCACCCAGCACATAGCAAGTACTGGGTAATTGATGTGGCCGTTACTCTTAACAATTTTGAACCTCATTTCTCTTCCCTCTCCTTTGTCATTGTATTTCCTCTACTACCTATTACCACTTTTAAAATAACAGAAACAGAGATAACTGATTGAAGGCTTATTATCCACCAAATGCTATATTAGGAGGTACATACAGCATCCCACTGTATCTTTGTAAAACTCTTAGGAAATATTCTTAGAAGAAAAATGAAGGCTCACTCTAGGTAAGTATCTTATCCAAGGTCACACAGCGAGGAGGAAGTAGTGCTGAAATTCTAACTCAGGTCTGTCTGATTCCTAAGTCTCTACTTCTATTATGTCATGCCATCTGAGAAATCAGAATGAGATGGCATTAGTTCTGGAGTATTCCTGACATACTTACCGGAGTGTTTCTGTACCTTGTGAGAATAACCAATCCACCTGTGATTGAAGACTGGGTTGCGAGTCGTTGGTTACAACGGGACTTGGAGAGCTGACATCTAGAACACAAAATAGATTTGTTTGGCTTTAAAACAGTTTGTTGCCAATTTATTCTTCAGGATTTTCCACAGTAAAAAAAAAAAAAAAAAAAAAACTGAAGCGATTGAAATATTTGTCACCATAAAATCATGGAATTTCCTCAAACAGCAATTAGAGAGCATCATTGATGGTAGTTGGAAAGAGAGAAATTCCCTGCCATAAAGAGAGGTTGTTGAAAAACTTAACAAATGTTATTGTACTGAGTTTTCTACAATCCTAAGCTGATCCAGAATCAAAGGGATTTGACGTGTCTTGTCTGCCAACCACAAAAGTAAAAATCTATTGTATAGTCAGAGCTCTACTCTCACCTCCCTAAACTCTGAACGTCCCATCCTAAGTGAGACCCCAAAGAGAATAATTATTTCCCCGCCTCTGAAAATGCCCAATAAAATGTCAAGGAAAGTCTTCAATGTGATGAACTCCACCCATCCCACTGGTCTACATAAGCAAGCAGCCAACATTTTAGAAATGAAGTTATAAGAAAACCACAAATTCAATGGTAGAGTATTTTGACTGGAAAATTTAATATAAGAGAAAAATGAATTGACTTTAGTTTGGCAAAAACTTCTGGATTTCAGCATTTTCCACCATCCTTATACTGTAATTTGCCAAAACCTTTTGGGACTAAGGATAGTAGGAGATAACAAATTAGATAAGGTAGGAACCGTAAGCCAACAATGCATTTTGTAAATATTATTCATTTACCTTCACAGAAACCCATTAAAGTAACCACTGTTCTCACTTTATCAAGTAGGAAAATCTCAAAGATTAGGTGGCTAAGAGGTGGCAAAACTGGGATTTCATCTTGGACTTCTCTGACTCAAAAGCCTGGGTTTTCTCCTCCACATTTCACCACCTTGTGCATCAGGCCTGCTCCTAATTCCTGAATTTCTCTATCTACATCAGTCCCTTAGCAGATGCTGTAGTATGGCAGAGAAACCCAAAGATGACTGTGTGGGTTCAGAGTAGATTTGAGTACTGGTCATGGAGTTGAACCACCTCTGTAGAGCAGGCCGTGTGAATTCCACGAGGTTCTAAGCCAGTGGGGTGAGTTTGAAGTACCCAGATACATCCCATGCCTGTACTGTGTATGATCCACTATTTGCCAAGAATAATTACATCTCCTGATAGAGGTCTCTGACAGTCAAACTGACTCAGTCCTTCTCAGGTTGCATTTAAGCATGAAACCAGGGAGACGTTTCACATCCAGCTCTTCTGCTGGTCTCAAAGGGCGGCATGCTTACTTACTTGGGTCTAAAAGCTGAGTAAGCGCAGCCCTGAGTTCCTCCACTGCGGCTCCTTGATCCCGAGGGGTGGGACTTAGCTTAAAAAATTCAACGGATGGGGCAGAAGGATAACTGGTAGTCTGAAACAAAGCAAACGAAGACAATTTAGAAAAACTGTGTCAGGTGGTTTACCACAGCTTTCTCCCCGGAAATTTTCCTTTGGAGAAAGGAAGATCCTATCTGGATGCATCTTGAGGGATAATTCTCCATTCAGGAGGCAACACTAGTACCAATCACAACTCACCAGCTACATGTGCCCTTCCTTAATTAAAGCATCTTCTTATGACCTCTTAGTAATAACATCAAGTTATTAAGGTAAATATTCTACACCACCAAAAGCACTCCAAATCATTAATGAATGTCTCTTTTTTAAGATGCATTTTAACATAAGCCTTGTTCCTTACTGTATAATTTGTACGATGTTCAACTGTTTGTTTTAAAATTTTTCTAATCACTTACCTCGGCGTCTTCCCTCTGCTTTCGCGCCAGCGCCCTTTGTTTGTTTCTAACGTACCTGTTTAAATTAGCAAAATGTAAGTATTTAAAAGAAAATATATGAAAATGCTGCAATCGTTAACCAATTATTAATATGCAAATATTTAGGAACAAAGACAATTCAGCCTCATCCTGACTCAATTCCCAATAAAGTACACTTCAATAACTTTTTTCCAGTTTGTAGAGGTAAGAATGATTTGAGAGAAAACTGCAAGAAAATGTTAAAGTATTAATATTACTAATAATTCTATCACCTAGAAATGGTCCCTAACCATTTCTATCATCTAATGGTTTCTTACCATTATGATGTATTTATACTTCATATAAATATATGGAAAAATATACTTCCAATATGTTTTTCTGTAAGTTAATCTATTTTAAACTTAGTTGATATTATACTTTATGTAATTCTGTTTCTAATTCAATTATTTTGCAAGCATTTTTCTACTTATTCGGAAATACAACTTTTAGTGGCTGCATATTTTACCTTATGGACAGATCACACATTTAATTATTCTTATCATTCCCAAGTATTTAAGGTGTTTCCAATTTTGCCATTATAAATAATTTCCTATAAAAATCCAAATACATTTAATGTCTTTTCTCTAGCTATCTTCATTTTTATATGTAACGCCTACTAAAAATATTGACCTTTTTATCACTTTTTAAAATTTTACACTGCTCATACATTGGGAGGTAAAGAAGGCACAGTTAAATAATAAATAAAAGAACAAGTTTCAAAGAACAGTGAAGTTGAAGGCAGAAGTCCCAGGTTCAAGTGTCATTATTATTAAGTAGTTATATAACCATGGATATGACTTCTGGATTCTCTATTCTATATCTGCTAAAAGAGAATAACAACATGTGAACTCTTCCTCAGAAAGTTATTCTCAGGGGTGAGATATCAATAGATAATACAGGTGGATGAATGTGGAAATGCTGTGCAAACTAAGAGTTTCCTTAGAAACATATAATATTACTATAGGCACATTGAGTCCATGAACCCAAACACTTTGTAGTCTAAAAACTTACTGTGAGCCGGAACATGCACTTGAGCTTAAGGTTTTTCTCTTCCTAAAACACACATTTTCTTCTTCCGTCTACTTACGGCATTGGCTTCTTATATGCTAGTTATGTTCTGAGTATGGACAATCTTCATAGGTCAAGCGTTGAGTAACCAATTTCCATTTCCTCTTTACACAACTATTCCCTAGATGTAATGAGTGGAGACTTTGGGGGGTCAGAATAGGGTGACTGTCTTTTGCATGTGGAATGGATGTGCATCTTTGGCCAATAGAGGGCAGACTGTGATAGGCAGATGATGTTCCCCAAAGATACCCACATCCTAATCAATACAACAGTGAATATGTTAGGTTAGATGGCAAATGGAACAAAGAATGCTAGTGAGCTGACATTAATAGGGAAATTATCCTGCCTTTCCAGATGAGCCCAATGTAATCACGGAGGTCCTTAAATGTGGAAGAGGAGGGGCAGAAGAGGAAGCAACAGCTTAAGGGTGTCCAAAATGCCACTTTCGGAGGATGGGAGAAGGACCCGACCAGACCACGTTGGCTTTAAAGATGGAGGAAAGGGGTCATGAGTCAAGGAAAGTGGGCAGCCTCTAGAAGCTGCAAAGGTTAAGGAAACGTATTCTCCTCTAGAGCCTCCAAAAAGGAAACGTAGCCCTGCTAACATCCTGATGACAGCCCAGGGGAACCCATTTCAGACTCTTACAGGACTGCAAGATAATGAGTTTACGTCATTTTTAAGCCACTCAGTTTGTGGTCATTTGTTCCAGTGGCTATAGGAAACTATTGGGTTGTCGGAAAAGTCATGACGTCTTTTTTTCTATGCTTTTTGTTGCAAAAATGCATCATGACTTTTCCGACAACCCCATAATACACTGGACTGGTATCTTTTCTAGAGGCAAGAATTTCTCTCTGAATCTTAAGACGGACGTAAGTGCCTCTGTCTCAATTGACTACAGTTGCTTTGGGCACACATGGTTCAAAGCGAAATCAGAATGAGCCAGCTCACAGAAGTAATCCAATCTCCTGATACCTCAACCAAATAAACACATTCCCTTCAGAGGAAGCTTTTAGTCACTGGTCTTACGGTTTGTTAACAGAATTCTCCACAATGAAAACCAGAAGGCAGCATTCCGCTGGAAACCATGTGGTTTTCCTTAGACATTTTTCCGCTTACAAAGATTTATACCACAGAAAATAAAGGGTAAGGATTGTGAGCGTGTTCAGTGCTACCAGAGCCCCAGTCATGAGGCTCACATCTTCAGCGGAAAGCCTGTCATCGCTTCCTGTTAATGGCGGCTGTCTCTGAAAGGCAATTAATAGGAGACAGTGAAGGAAAGAGCTTATTTTGTAGCTCTGGGTTTTACTTCACTGATTCTCTTGGTTCATGCATGCTCGATGGGGGGAAAAATCTAGGCAATAAGTGAAAAGGCTCAGTGGGATGTTACTGGGGAGGAGGAATACGAGAAATTAATATTTAATGAGTGCCAATGTGCTAGTGCTCTGGTAGGTACTTTTATATATACATTATCTCATGTAATTCTCAAAACAAAACCAAAAAAGAAAACCTTCCAAATAAATAGTACTGTCCTCTTTAACAAACAGGAAAAAAAACAAAAAACCCTAAGTCTTAGAAAAATGAAGCAACTTGTCTGAAATCATCAGCAAGATTTGATCCAGGACTGTTCTGTCACTTCATCAGCTGGTTGGAAATACAGCCACGGTGCAATTACATATGCCCAGTAATTCTCAGCAGAAACGGTGCCCTTAGGGTGTCTCAAAATGCCACTTTAGGAAGAACACACGGGCATTGAGTGAGTAGGAACAGGGAACACTGTCCCACTCAAAATGCCAATTCCACGCCTATGGGGAAACACAGACCTAGAAAAGCGAGAGGACCTCAGAGGCTGCGGGATCCCTATGATGGGAAGGCCTAGGCATAGGTTTGGAAAAAGATCCGGAGACTTGTCTGGGGCTCCTTTTTCAGACTGAGAAAAACGCCTCCTGTCAATCAAAGCACGATGCCACTCTTGGGGGGCTGTGTTCTGGGTGCACGCTCTCTCTCCACGTCTATTTTAACTTCATAAACCATACCCGCTCTTACTCTGCTCCTTATCTAGTCAACCCCACTCATGCTGTTGTTTTCAGCTTAGATGGCACTTCCTTACAGAAGCTTCCTTCTCCCAACCTGGATTAAGTCCCGCTGTGATTCTCGCCAAATAGACCGGCTGTACTTCTGTTTCGCAACCTTCGTTTCCATTTCCAAGCGTGTATATTGATGATAGAAGGTGTTTTCCTGATTATAGGCTTGACTATCAACAATCAATTATAGGTTACTATTTTAATGCAGGAATAGATGAGTTAGAAACAACTTAAAGGCCTAATGAGTGAACTGTGAGAGACACATGGACCATTACGCAGCTATTACAAATAATGGTTTCCCAAGAGCATTTAAAAACACAGGCTACACAAATATTTGTTATGCAGTGAATAAAACCAAGGGAGGAACAAGAGTATGTCATCTTTATATGAACACAACTATGAAATACTTAGAAAAAACTACATTAGTGACTAAATTATGAGTATTCACAATTTTTCCTTTGCTTTTTTTCTGAATGAAAATTTTTTTTAAAAAAATCTATGTTCATAGACAAAATTTCCTCACTGGCTGCTCTGGTTTTTCATAAACTATTTTCTCCATATAAAATATTCTCCCTTCTTCTCTTTCCATAATTTTCTCCATCTCTAACTTTGGGTAAACCTCACTTTCACTGAGATGTTTTGTTTACACCATTCACTTATTTGAGAGTCTACCATGTGCCCAGTGCACACAACATTAGATGAATAAAATCCTGGTCCCATGCAGAGGTTACGCAGCCTGAGAAGACCCAGGAATGCTTTTAGCACTGCTCAGGTATGTGCTCCTTTTTGCAAACCATATCATAAGCTCCCAGAAGGCCAAGTCCAAGATCCCCTATCCAGGGAGGAAGGCGGCCTTGCCCTGAACTTGTTTTGGGTCTTCCTGTGTGTTCACCTTGTAGGCCCTCTGGTAAGAATGCTGAGTAACTGGTGGCGAAAGTAGAATTGGAGAAGAGTCCGCTCACCTCTCATATCCAAGGATGACATTATTCAACTCCTCATTCACTTCAGTTAGCTCAGCAGTTATGTCTTCATTCTCCACCACGACGAGCAGGTCCACGATCCTCTCGTTCATCTCCCGACCAATCTTATAAAGTTTCTGTCCAAGAAACGAGAGCGATTTCTTCTTCCATGCTAGAAATGTTCTATAAAGACAACTAATTCGCCAGTTTGTATACACCTCCACCCTGAGTCCCCTACGGGAGATTAACCAAAGTGTTTGACTATGGATAGCTCATCCTTTCTATTAGAAGGTAGTGAGTTATAAAAGATTTTCCTCTAAAAATCAAAATCGGTATCATACGGACAAACTGGTGCACTGAATGTAATGCTGGACTAGACCTTAGAAGCAGAGTATGGCAATTCTAGATGGACTGCTTATTGGGTGTCCTGTTGGGGGGGGGGGGGAATCACTTGTTTTCAAAATCTCAGTTTTCTCATTTGAAAAATAAAAAGTATGCAACCTTGCACACCTGTCTCAAGGGTTGACATTAAAATCAAATGAGACATGCACCATGAGGAGCTCTATCTATAGTGATAAAATAGTACTCGATAAAACACAAAGTGCTCTTGTCATTCCTAGTGGTAGTGGAAGAAAAGAAGCGCCTCAGGTACATTTACTACACCGTGATGTTTTACTTGAATACCTGAATAAACATTTAACGTTTACAGCTACAACATTACTTTCCAAGATTAACTGAAGCAAAATTAAAAACTAGTCATGGATAATACCCTTCTTTGGATGACCCAGAACCCCTGCAGTAAGCCACAGCCCCACTCCCCAAACCAGCTGTTTCCCATAAGTCCAGAGGCACCTAAAGCAGATGTACTGATTCATAATCTCCGGGGCTGAGGGCCTGGGAATCTACAATTTTTCACAAGCATCCCAAGTGTTTCTTACAAACATTGACATTTGAAAACTTGCTGCCTTACAACTTCCTTCCTCGTAGGCAAACCTCCAAAAAAGCCTGAGAAGCATAAAACTGATAGTAATATTTCTCCAAACCCAACTTGGCTAGAATTTCTCCGTGTCAGAGTCTATGAACATCATGCAAAAACACAGGGATGTTTCTCCTTTCAAGATGAAAGCAGCAGAACTTGCTAAATCATCACTGTTACATTATCTGATTTGTTTTTCCCCTCGAGAAAGGCCCGCTGAAAAAAATGGATGCTTCACAGAACCATTTAGAATCTCCAACAATCTATTACAAGGCTCCTGACAGGAAATCTCTAAATAAATACATCAAACCATTCCTAGCTGGCATTTAGACTCAGAGGTAAAAGCCACTACCCTCCACAAAATCGTAACAAAAATGTTTAGAAGACAAAAGAAAATGAAAAGGGGGAAAAACTGAGACAGATAGATGAGACTCTGGGTTTTATTAGTTGCAACATGCAGCCAGAAAAACTGTCCTATCGGCTAATGACTTGGCCCCTATCAGCCGGGTTAACCAACTTTTTTCTTAAAGGTCCAGATATTATAATATTTTCTGCTTTGTGGGCCATATGTTCTCTGTCAAAACAGCCCAGCTCTGCAGTCCAATTTGAAAGCAACCATAGACCATCTGTAAACAAATGGGTGTGGCGATATCCTAATACAACAAAGACAGGTGAGAGGCTCAGTGGGGCTCCCTCTGGCCCCTGGTTTAGAGCAGACAGAACAGACTTTAGACTCAGTAGACCAAAGGCCTCTCACATATACACGCCTGACATGGGAATTAGTTACATTTTAACCTGGTTTTTTAAATTTCATCTATAAGACAAGGATAAACACAACTATCTTATAGAGTTGTAAGAACAGGAAATGGTGTAGTTGAAACCCCACAGTGTTTAGCATATAATGAATAGCCAATAAATGTAGTGTGGTTCCATGAGGAGGTATCACTAGAAGCTTAAACCAGACAAGTAATACGATTCTGGAATATTCACGCCACTACCCAGGACCCAATATTATGCAAACAAAAGAACTCAAAACAGCATGTTATGCAATCCCCACGATGAAGGAGAATGTTTCCTCTGTTCTGGCATCGTGAGTGTACAGAAATTGTTCTTCTCGCTCACTGGCAGCCTTGTTAGAGCAATGTCAAGATCAAGGAAATACAATGGCTGTTAGATGCCTGTGACAAAAATGTATAAATTAATGGGAAATGAATTTGCAACTAACATCAATAGCCTCCGATCGCATGGAGCCCCTCCCTTTGCCCTCTCGAGAGACAGATGGAATGGAAACATGAAAGGAACACTGCATCTCTCAGCAGGTTTGCAAAGCAGAATTTGAAAAACCTCTTCAAAAGCCAGCCCACTCTGATCTTTGCAATTGATGTCTGTCTCAGAGGAGGGCCAAGCCACCTGGAAACAGCGTAGATCAAGCACCGTGGACCAAAAGGATGGGTCAGAAGTTCCCCACTGCAGGTAAGCGTGCAGGGCTGTTGATGTGGGAAGCCGGGGGCGGGGGGGGCGGGTAGCAAAAACCAGAGTAACAGCTGCTGGTACATATGTCCATCACTGAGCCCCTGGAATAGCCTCCCATTACACCATATCAAAGCGAAGGCAGGCTTCTAAGTGACAGCGAATTTACCAATCAACTCAAACGTCTCTGGAGCAAAACAAAGAGGAGCTAGCTCATTAAGAGCTTCCTCTTCCAGCATCCAGACAGCTCCTACTCCTCCACAGAGCTCAGGGATTAAGGGAGGAGATCCCTCTGCAACTTCCAACTGTAACTGTACCACGTTCACCAACAGTAAAAAGTGCCTGGACGCTGCCTTTGAAAAAGTAAAAATAGGAAGAAATGTGTTTACTTGAAAGCTTTCTCTGGAACTAATATCTGTGTGGCAATACTCCTATTATCAGCCCATAACATATTTCCTCTCCACCACTACTCCCCATCCAGGCTGCAAGAGACCCAGAGAACGTCTCTATCTGCTCAAAATAAAAACTACCCTCCCACCCTAAAACTGAACAGTATAACTTGCTCTCACAGTCTCTTTTTCCTTATATAGGTCCCAGCTGAGTGAATGACTAATTGTCAAGATAATCTTCAAGAAGATCATTAACTCATTAGACCCCTTCCAACTTTGTGCCAACTAAATATTGTCAACATTTGGTTACTGAAAGCTTTTGTTTTCAGGAACTCCTTAGGCCTTCTTTTGTCCTAAATCATGAATTCTTCAACAAAGAGCACCAATCTATTCAACAGACATTTAATGAACTCAGTCAGGGTACAAAGCCTATACTCTAAATATACATAGTTGTATGGATTTAGAAGTATGGGGCTTGGTTACTGACTTCTAGTTGCTTTCAATCTAGCTAGAGAGCTCCTACATACCCATGTGAAAGACAACAGGTCAGCCACCTATACTAGAAAGTTAATCCCAGGTTCAACCTGAGAAACAAACTGGTATAATGGACAGAACGTAGGCTCAGGAGAACACAGGTCTCAGCCCAGCTCCATCCCCTGTCACTGTGTGGGCAAATCCACCCCTTTCTGAATATGCAGCCTCATCTGTAAAGGAAGAGAGATGGTTTCAGTTGACACTGAAAGTCCCTGCCACTCTAAATAAATACAAGTTTCTGAATGGTAAAGAATAGTACGAATGGACAGGGGAGGATGACTTTTAATTTTATGCTCAGGTTTTTTCCCTCAACTGGTTACAAATTATTCTCACAGGATCAAATCTTAGATTAACAGGACTTTAAACTTCTCTGATAAGCTAAGGTAAGGCTTTCTCCAGTCCTACTTTCAAAATCAGAGCTCCCTTCCATCTGCAGAAGACTAACACAATCTCTTCTTTCATTGTCCTATTGGGGGGGCTCGGCCCAAACAAGTTAAGACGAGAACGGGAGGTACCAGGAAAAGTCAGCTACTCAAGGTTAAAGTGGTCCAAAGCCAAGTTTGTGCACAAGGCCAAGAAAGCAAAGGCAAGAACACAGGCGGCAACATTTCATTCCTATGACCGAAGCAGACACTCTGAACTCATCCAGCAGTCATTAGATTGGATGCAGCCTCAGAATCTTTGTACATCACTCTGGCAAACTAACAGAAATGCGGTCCCACCCCGCCACCCTCTAATAAAGTTCATAGTCCACAAGCATGTACAGGTAGGGAAAGCTATTTACTATGCAAAATCGTTTTACTGCCTAAGAGTCTACCAAAGAGCAGGAGCTCGGTTCATTGGCACAGCTTCAGGCTCTATCTGTTGGGCATGAATTGGAGAACAGACTGGGGATTCCAAGTAAGTGCGCTGGAGCTCAGATGGAAGGAAACAAGACAGGGAATAAATAGTTTCCAAAGAAACAGAACCACTGCTAGAAGGTAACACCAACAGACAAAATAGGAAGCGATTCCAGGTTTAGAGGCTACTTTTAATGTTAACAAATGGCATCAGAGGCTGATCACTGACAAAGTGACTGTACAAGAAGGATCCAGGAATCTTTGAGTAGAGAACTTTTCCTTTGTGTTCAACACCTTGTGTTGTCCTCCACATTCATTGTCTGCACTCTCCAGCCTGCTCTGTGCCCTGGGGGCTGGCCTGTAGGAAACACACCACCAGGTCCCTCTGACTGGGCTAAGCCAACGGGATTCATGGGCAGGAAGCGGGAAAAAGGAGAGACTGGTCTGGATATTTATTCCTTTCATTCTTGCCACCAAAGGCACCGCTATTCTCAAGGCTGGGAATTCTCAAGGAATTCACATGACTCTTTCCTTTGGATTCTGGCAAAAGTTCCCTCTGGCTTATTTATGCCTAGGGATATTAGTTAACAGCACAGGGTGGTTTCTCTGAATCCTGTGATATCTCAATAAACAAAGAGTACCCTGATTAAACTCTTCAAATTACTCAAATTGAGCATGCTATCTCTTTAACTGATAAGCGCTACAAGACATAAAAACACAGAGTAATGAAAATAGTATGATACCAACATGGGGAATAGACAAACCTCAAATAACAAGAACAGCCTCTGGAAAAAACATCCTTGTATTAGAATACAGAATATACTCTTATTAGTGGAGATCGTGTGAATTGTTAGGAAATGTTATATTTCGGCCACCAGCCATCTAATTGAAAAAAATAAATGAAAGTCAAGTCTCGAATTCATACCAAG